TAAACCCTAAACCCTAATCATTAGGCCTTAATCATATGTGCTTAATCCAGGCCCTAAGGCCCACGGCAGTAGTTGCGAGGACTGGAGGACCGTGTGCACCGGGACTCACGGTTTAGGGGCTCTTCGTCACTGCGGTTAATGTAGGAACCTGACTAAGAAACCCTGGCCCTATAACCCCAATATATTAGGGTAATTATTAGGGCTCATATTAAGAATCCTAATAAACCTAAACCCTAAACCCTAAACCCTAAACCCTAAACCCTAATAAAGGCCCAGGGTTTCTTAATCAGGTTCTTACATTACAGGCAGGCTTTACATTAAGCTTTCGCAGGGGAGTGTGGCTGAGAGAGCCTAAGCCCTGAATCCTAAAGTCTATTGTAAAGGCCTGTTTAGGGTTTAGGGTTTAGGGTTTAGGGTTTAGGGGTCAACCTTTGAAAGCTTGAACTGAAACCTCAAAAACCATACCGGCCCCTGTAATCTCAATGCCCTACAACCCTAAACAGCCTTTTGTACAACCTGTAAAGCAGTAGAGTGTGGAACCCCTTATGTTACAACAACCCTAAAAGCCATGGAAACCGTCAAGGCCCCATTCGCCCCTGAAGCCATCCACGGAGCCTAAACCAGTTTGATAAGACCGCGATGAATGCCTCATAGAAAAGTGATCAAGGATTTCAAACCCAATACCAAACCGCATACAACCTTACAAAACCTCCATTAACGCAAACACCGAAACCGAAATCCTGAACCCTCCTTTAAGCCTATAGAAACCTTGCAATACAAGGGGCTACATAAATACAGAAGAAACAACATCTGCAATGCTGTCTGCTGGGACAGGTCAGCGGTGACTGTGGCATTCCATTCTCTCCGAATGTGCTCAATCAGAGCTTTGAGCTTCACCTCAGTCATATTAGCTCATGCCAAGGCACGTTTCCCGTGTCGCCCCTCGCGATTGCCGCCGCTCTGGCTTTCGGACGGCTCTGGCGCTGAAGCTTGTGATTCACCGTTCTGCACCATGATGACACTGACTCTGGCTGCTACCACGTAGCCCCACCCATTATCTTGTGAATTAAACTAACTATACTATAAGAAACCCACCAAAACCCTACTGTAACATTTCAGGCCTCTTTATGACATAACCCTTTTCTCCAGCCCTCCTTTCCAAGAGGGTCCATATGCTACATGCATGGAGTGAAGTCCCCAAATTGTCCCAAAACCAAGATAAGGATGGTCTTTTGGGGCCTAAGTCCATCATGCTCGTCTGCATGGACCCTCCGGGTCTAGACACACCAACATCCAACCCTAAACCCCTAAACCCCTAAGCCCCTAAACCCCAAGCCCTAAACCCCTAAACCCTAAACCTAAAATCCCCCAACCCTAAACCCCCCAACCCCCAAACCCCCTAAGCCCGAAACCACCAGGGCCGCTAAAACCCTAAACCCCAAATCCCCAAACCACAGCCGAAACCTAAACCCCTAAACCCCCAACTCCCTGAATCCCTAAATCCCCAAACCCCCAAACCCCCAAATCCCCAAACCCCAGCCGCTCCGGCCTCAACGGCCTCCAGGGCGGAGAGCGCCAGGACGACGTCTGCTTCCACGGCCGCCTCCCAGGCGCGACGCCGAGGGTTAGAGGCTCTAGGGTTCAGGGTGTGGGGGGTTTAGGGGGTTTAGGCTCTAGGGTTTAGGGTTTAGGGTTTAGGGTTTAGGCTCTAGGATTTAGGGTTTAGGCTCTGGGGTTTAGGGTTTAGGCTCTAGGGTTTTGGGTTTCGGCTCTAGGTTCTAGGGTTTAGGGTCTAGGGTTTAGGGTTCGAGGCTGTGTGGCTTTTTCCTGGGGCGGGAAGGGAGTGTGAGTGTGTGTAGTGGCTTTGTGACATCGTCGTGTCTCCTGTTTCTTTGTGGCCGCTGCTGTTTAGGGTTTAGGGTTTAGGGTTTAGGGTTTTGGGTTTTGGGTTTTGGGTTTTGGGTTTAGGGTTAGGGTTTAGGGTTTAGGGTTTAGGGTTTAGGGTTTACGCCTTGTGTTTTGAATTTACTTCTTTTTCTTTGTTGATGGTCCTCGCTATAGATTTGAAACCTGTAGCCCCAAACCTTGCAAGACAGCACGTAGGTAGCTGTGACCCTGTAATTACATGGCATAACCTTTAAAACAGTAAGTTGTTGCTCCCCAGGTAGGACCATTGTAGGGCATTCGGCGCTTCGGGTTTAGGCCACCTTCATGATTCATGGCTGAAAGCTAAGTGTGGGTGGGGGCTTCAGGTTTGGGCTTGGGGGCTAAGGTTTTGGGGCTTGGGGTTAAGAGGCAACTCTAAACCCTGAACCCTGAACTATTTGGGTTTAGGATATTGTGGCAACTTGCAGGACCAGGACATATTGAAGATCCTCGCCAGCAGTCCGTCCGTTTGAAGGCCCCTAGCCGCCCTTTAGAACAAATCACTTCCTTTCATAATCCCTGGAAATGATAAAACTCAAAAAACCAATCAAGAATGAACCCCAAACCCTAAACCCTAAACCCTTTTAAACAGTATAAGCACAAAACCCAACAGAATTCCATCAAGGATCCCTACTCACCCTACTCGAGCTTTTTCAGGCACCTGTACGAAACACAACCTCCATAAACCCTATGATTAGCAAAAACCTATAGACCGCGTTCTAAGAACCTGTATAGACCCCTTTTTATGGACCCTACTTTTAGAGGCTCATGAGACTTAGTAAGCAAGGTTACAAGTAAAGTAACGGGCAGAGGCATAGGTTAGCCCGCGCCACTTTGCTGGCAGCCAGAGCTCCGACTGTTCAAAACATTGTTCACATGCGTCATCCAAGTCAACGACCGTCGGTTCGCAGCAGGACAATCTTCTGGATGCAAGGAAAACGCTTTGGCGAAAGGCCTGGACGTGGCGGATGCTCACGTCAATCCCGGAGGGCACTGAGTGTGGGCTCGCTCTGCACGAGGCTACACCACTGCAGACGTGTGCGAGGGACACGACGGCACGTTCAGCTGCACCGCCAACGGCCACGTGCACAAGTCAGAAGGAGCTTCCGGGCACAAAATCATCGAGCCAAACTTGCCATACTCCGGTGCGTCACTGCAGCACTGGATCCCCATGCCGACAGACCGGAAGTCGCAGCAGAAGCAACAGCTCGCACACCGAAGACGATTGCAGAGTTTGCAAGTTCTCAGGGGTTTTGTTCATTATCACCATCTTCATGGTCAACACACGACGAGGACGGACGACCCGGGCAGCATCATGATTCATCATCATATCGAGACGACGTCTGGGTAGTGCTTAGATTGGACGACGACCCGGGCAGCATCATCATTCATCATCATATACGGACGACGTGTTGGTACTGCCTAGGTTGGACATGGGCATAGCGATGATGATCTGAATGATGTTGCTGAAGAGGTTCATGATGCTCAGAAGACAAGATGCGAGTGAAAGTGTGGAGAAAACGGTTTTTTATCTCGAGACCCCGAACCCGAAACCCTGAAGCCTCAATGCCAAACCCTTAATTCCTCAAGTGCCCGCTGCAAGTGCCCACTTGCCGGGGGCAAACCTCTACTCCTGCGCGTAAAGTAGTAATCAGGACAACCCTACTTAGGAGACATATAACCCAATTCTAGCCCTATCCTAAGTCCCATGAGCGTGTAATTTTAGTAGTCCATGAGGCCCCTTTTAAACCCGACTCAAAACTAGAAACCTACTTTGGGCCAGTGCCTTTGGGTGGTGGCGGAAGCAGGGTCTATTGAGGCCCTACACGGCTGAATGACTCTTCGGGTTCAGGTTTTAGGGATGTGTAACATGAAAGAAGGAATCGAATATGGGAGTTTCCGACAATTCAGGTACCTTATTTTGGGGTCCTTATAATAAGAATCCGATTATTTAGGGTACTATAGTACTAAGTAGGGTCTCCTATTTTAGGAAACCCCCATATCGAAACATGCTCGATTCGGACCCCTGAGGGATGTTGAGACAAAAAAAATCTCAGGCCCGTAGATCAGGTTTGGGGCTGCGGGTGGTCAGTTCTTACAAACCCTAAACCCTAAA